TATATATATATATATATGAGAGACAGTTGTGCTGATGCAGTAAATGAGAAAGAGACCGAAACAGAACACTAAGAAAACAGTACAATATATGGTTAGTTGCTATAATCTCAACTCTTATGGCTTTAAGGAAAATAACATACGCACTTCTTGTGCTTATTGTTATCACTCGATGCATAGTTGATTCCGAAAGAAGTAAGTCGACAACATAGAGAGAGAGAGACAGAAAGAAAGAAAAAACAGAAAAACTATTCTTTTCAACAGTACTTACTAAATGATTGATTTGTGCGGTTAGTTTATTACTAATAAGAGTGAGTCAACGAATTTCTTCGCATATTTAATTAATACAAGAGCAAATGGATATACTTAATGCCTTTCATCGTTTACCACAAATAAGTTATTTTGGTATACGACGTGATGATGATTTTGCTGATCGATTAAATTATAAATATACAGTTGGTTTATTAATATTTTTCTCAATAATTATTGCTGGTAAACAATTTTCAAATGATCATATACAATGGTATAATTCATAATAAATTTTTATGCAAATAATAAATTATATTTCTTTTAGTTGGGTACCAGCTATATTTACTAGAAATTATGAAATTTATGTATCAAATTATTGTTGGATTCATAATGTAAGGCAAAGAAGAAGAAAGAGATATTTATTTAGTTATTTTTTTTTCTTTTACCTTAGACATATCATATAAATATAAGTGAACCAAGTATTCAACGATCACGTGAAAAACATTATGTATTACGATATTATCAATTTGTTCCATTTATTTTACTTATACAGGCTTTATTATATTTACTTCCACGTTTATGTTGGCGTTCATTTAGTCGTCACTCTGGTATTGATGTTAAAAATTTAATGGAGGCAGCACAAAGTCTTAAATCAGTTAAACGTTTTCATAAACATAAAACTATAATGAATTATCTTGTTTCATTAATTCATCAATATGTTGGTGATCCAAGAAAAAAGTCGAAACAAGAACATAGTCAAATTAATGCTTATATACAAGGAATAATTCATTGTGTTATTGGTACAACAAATACATTTAATTCGTATTTATTATTACTTTATTTATTTATTAAAATATTATTTATTCTCAGT